TTTGTAGTTTTCATAGTGACATGAACAAAATAGCATTTATCATAATAAAATTTATGACTGAATAACAGGAGGCCTGGAAGAATTAGACTGGTGACAGAGAGGTCAATTAGAACACTGCCACAAGAAGAGACAATGATGACTTCTACCAAGAAATCTACCTGCCAGCCATGAAAAGAAATAGGCAGACATGGGACATATTTTTGACAGAGAAAGGATAGTGGCTGATAGGAAGGGGTGAGCAAAAAGAAATGGTAAAACAAAGAAAATGTTATGGTCTTTAATTATCAGATTATGTATGTTGATAATTACCTATCAACTAAGTCAAGCAATAAATGGTGCTTAAGTTTGGAGATTTGAAAGGCTTTTAAAGTATTAAAATACTATGCTGTAGTCATAAATTAGAAGGGTCTAGGGCTAAAGTTGGGATTCATATTATTAACATATAAAATATATAAGTTTTATATGTTAACAAATGAGATCTAGTGATAACAAACTAGATCGCATAACAGAAAAATATATAGTAACTAGAGGCCCAGTGCACTAATTTGTGTACAGGTGGGGTCCCTTGGTCTGACCAGCGATCAAGGCCTATCGGGGGGTGGGGGGTGGTGGCCAGCTGGGAGGAGGGACCATGGGAGGATGGCCAGCTGGCCCCCTGATCCAGGCCAATGGGAGAGCCGGCTGGTCAGCTGGGTGTAGGGGCCACAGAAGGTTGGCTGGCTGGGCAGAGGAACCATGGGAAATTGGCTGTGGGAGCACAACCACCAGGGGGCAGCTCCTGCATTGAGCGTCTATTCCCTGGTGGTCAGTGTGCATCATAGCAACTGGTCGACCGGTAGTTCCAGTCTTGGTCATTTGGTCGTAACAGTTGCTTAGGCTTTTATATGTATAGATAATTAAGAGGGGTTAGTATAGAATTGTAGAGAATGGAATACTTAATGTGGATATTGAGAGAAAATCATTATAAGAACTTTAGAAGTCATAAACTTTCTTGGTCAAGAGAGTTGTGGAGAAAAAATTAACTCCAATTTCAAGATTTAAAAAGCCTCATGGAATAGATAGAGAATATACTATATTTTAATTAGATTTTTCTATTTAGCAAAAACTGGGCTAATTTATGTAAAATTTGTGTTCAAGTTACCTAGATTAAAACTGAGGTTTACATTTCTGTAATTTTGATTACATAAGAAGGAAAGTTTATCTAAATAAATGAATAACAAACAAATGTTTAAAAGAAGTTTCTTAACTATTTAGCCTGATAAATTTATAAAACATACCTAGTCAAAGGTTTGTGTATTTTAGAATGGCCTAGTGTAATAAGATCTTTGAATTAAGGCAGAAAGTGAATACTTTCATTTAGCAGCACTTCTATATTTAAGTTTTTATTGTTTGTTTTTACAGTCAACCATTAATAACCTTGGAGCTAATAAAGTGCAAATTCTTAGTTTCAAAAGTGAAGAAATTAATACTCAGACTGGTTAAATTTGGCCTATGTCATTTGGCTTGTTTTGGAAGAAATGAGACTCCATTAAATAATCTTTTATTTTATCAGTTATTTTCATTTATTTCACATAGATTTATCAAAAGTTATATATTGACTTGGTTTGGTAGATCTAAAAAGCAGTTTGTCTTTCTATTTGGGAAATATTCTATTATAGATAGATATAAAAATACTAGAGGCTCGGTGCATGAAATCCGTGCATGCGGGGGGTGGGGGGGTGGGGGGGGAGGACCCTCAGTCCAGCCTGTACTCTCTCTAATCTGGGACCCCTAGGGGGTTGTCTGACAGCCGGTTTAGGCCTGATCCCCAGGACAGTTGGACATCCCTCTCACAATCCTGGACCACTAGCACCTAATCGCTCACCTGCCTGCCTGCCTGATCACCCCTTACTGCCCCCTCTGCCAACCTGGTCACCCCCAATTTCCCCCCTCTGCCAGCCTGGTCGCCCCTAACTGGCCCCCTCTGCTGGCCTAGTCACCCCTAACTGCTCCCCCTCCGGCTTAGTTGCCCCTCATTTCCCCCCTTGCCAGCCTAATCACCCACAACTGCCCCCCCTGCCAGACTGGTCTCTCCCAACTGCACACCCCCGCCGGCCTGGTTGCCTCTTACTACCCCCCTTGCTGGCCTGGTCACCCCCAACTGGCCCCCTCTGCCTGCCTGGTCACCCCTAACTGCCTCCCATTCCAGCCTGGTTGCCCCTCATGGTTCCCCCCGCCAGCCTGGTTGCCCCACGCAGCCTGCTGTTCAGTTGTTTGGTCGTCCCTCACTCAACCCTTGCCGGCCTGGTTGTAGGCAGCCTTCTTGTGAGGGCATGAGGGTTAATTTGTATATTACCCCTTTATTATAGAGGATAAGGTAGAAATAGATATCCTATATAATAGAAGCCTAATATGCTAAGTGTCTGGTCATCCAGTCAGCCGTTCAACTAATCAAAGTATAATATGCTAATAATATGCTAAGACTGCTCAACAACTCGCTATGATGTGCCCTGACCATCAGGGGGCAGTTGACCCGTCAATCAACAACTATGACATGCACAGATAACAAGGGGGCAGATGCTCCAACCGGTAGGTTAGCTTGTTGCTGGGGTCTGGTCGATCAGGACTGAGTACGATGGGCCAGACATGCCCTGGAGCCCTTCTGTGGCCCCTCCCTGGTTGGCCAACCTCCTGCATCCTTCCCTGGCCCCTATTGTGCACCAGTGGGGTCTCTTGGCCTGGCCTGCGCCCTCTCGCAATCTGGGACCCCTCTGGGGATGTTGGAGAGCCAATTTCGCCCGATCTTTCTGGCCAGGCCAAGGGACCCCACTGTGCATGAATTTGTGCACTGGGCCTCTAGTATAATATAAAATAGATAAGTTAATTTGCAAAATATGTGTCAAGTTCATTCTCACATTTCCACCTTCTCATTTTTTATTGATCCTGGACTAGTGAACAAGAGATGGGCAGGGAAAATTAGTCCAATTTGTCCATAGGAGCAGAGCAGTTGTGAACAGGAGTCCAGTGCTAACCCAAATTATTCATTTCAAACACCATAGCTTACTGGAACCTGCTTCAAGTGTCAGTTGTCTACACTGTTCATTTGTCATAAGTTGGCCTCAGCTTGAATTTTATTCAAACAAAGTACTCATCTTCTCTTATATTCAGTGTTTTTATTTGTTAAATGTTCATATGAAATATTTGATTCTTAGAATTATCAAAGGAATTAACTGAAAATGTAAAATCCCTAATGTGTCTATTACAAAGCAGGAACATCATTAATGTTAAATGTTGATGATATTGTTATTATCCTTTGTGGTTTCTCATGTAGGGTGAGTAAACATTGAGGCTTATTTTTGATCCTATTGTTAAAAGATGCTGCTTAGAATTGCATCATTCCCTTTTGGTTTACTTCTAAAGGAATAAGTTAACAAAATCACTTAATTGTTTATATTAAATTTATTAGATTAATTTATTAAATTAAATTATTTAATCAGCTATTATTTTAAATGCAACCATATTTAAACATATGCTTTGTTAATGGCAATTCTTAGACTGTATATATCTATTATAAGAAGGTCATGGTTAATGTTTTAATGTTCCATATTTTCTGATTTCCATTATTTAACTACTTTTTTCTTTTACTACATTTTTAAGATAAGAAGTAAATGAAGGAATTAAATGAAAAATTATACACAAAGATACTTAAATAGCAAGATAATTAATTCTCATATCACTTTTGACTTGAATTTATTTTTTTTCTGTGTGAGAAAAACATTTCCATATTAGTCGAAAGATAATTTTAAAATTATGCTTGGTTTTGTTCCTGGGCATTGGAGCACAGTGATGCTAGAAGGGAGAATAAAACCTTTGCCTTTTTACCCAAATGCAATTCTCTCCAAAGGAAGCATATTACATTTATCAGAAAGATAGAATTATTCATATATTTCTGTTTATTTTTATTCTGGCAGTTAATTTAGCCCGTGCTTTTTGATAGATGTTCTATTGCATGAATAGATTTGAATGCATATACATTGTAAAAGTCTTCCAATGGAACAGGTGATTTTATTTGTGAGAAAACTTCTTAGGTAATATTTGCCTCTTGTTGTTCATGTTGTGTCCTAAATCATAACATATTTATCCTAGTGCAGTAAAGTTAAGTTTCAGTGAAATCAACCTAATTTTCTCAGAAATATCTTCAATAAAATCAGAAATTAGCTTAACTTCAAAAAATTACAATTCTTATATTATTGAAATATACTTTTGAAAATATACTTAAAATTAATATTACAGAAATAGTGGCAACAGTGTGACAAACTACAGTGATCTCGAAATGTCTTAAAGTGAAAGTATATGGGAAAATTCAAATCTCAAAAATATTAGAAATTCAACAGAGAAAAATACAGTGGATTCTCAGTGTGGTATTGTAGTGAGTAGTTCCTCTCATGTCCTTAAGGGGAAAAGCAAACCTTAAACCTTAGCAATTTGGCAAGGTTTTCTAAACCAGTCAAAACTTCTAATTGTATGACAAAGGTGCTTCTTTTCCCTTTCCTACTACTTGTATTTACTGTGCCTGCTAAATCTACAATATCACATACCCTTTCTTATACCATCCTTGGATAAGAGATAACAGCATAGGAAGCAGAAAACTGAAAAAGCTGAACCCTCAGAAGGCAGGATCATTCTTTTGTGAAATGCAAATATTAAATGCCCAATTAATGGCTGATAATGACAAATCATTGAATAAATGTTTCTCATGTTGACCATTTTAAGCCTAACTTAATGCTTTATTTATTTTACTAATGTTGGAAGACCTCACTCAAGAAAGTTCTATAAAAACAAATCAGAATAATTTCAACTGATGGTATTTACCACCTATCCCAAAGGTTTCTATAATCTTTTTCATCTGAATTGTCACACATCTTCAACCAGCAGAAATTGTTTTCTTATGATTTTCTGTGTTTGAATATGCTTTACCAGTTTATACTAACCTTGAAAAATTTTCTTTTTCCCATTTCAAGTTCCACCCAATCTGACTGTTCCACAGGAAAAATCACCTTTGGTCACCAGAGAAGGAGACACAATAGAACTACAGTGTCAAGTAACTGGAAAACCTAAACCCATCATCCTTTGGTCTAGAGCGGATAAAGAAGTTGCAATGCCCGATGGGTCAATGCAAATGGAGAGTTATGATGGAACACTGAGGATTGTGAATGTATCTAGGGAAATGTCAGGAATGTACAGATGTCAGACCAGCCAATACAATGGATTTAATGTGAAACCAAGAGAAGCTTTGGTGCAGCTCATTGTTCAGTGTAAGTACATTTTTTTCTATGTGTTTCTATTGGGAGGCAAGGGAACAACTGTTACTATCTTCTACTAGTAAAAATGTGGTGATTTTTGGAATTGGTTCAAGATAAAATATTTATACATTATTGCTACCTAATTTAAACTATAATTTTTGTTAAATCTGCCTATTACCTGAGCTACTACACACTAGTACTAGTAGATGAGAATTGTATTAGTGTGTATGTGTTTGTGTGGTGATTATAATGATTTTATGTGGTTGGTTAATGCCAAAAAAATCAACAAACCTAATAGTTAAAAACTGGCCATGTTTAATGAAATGAAGACTGGAAGTAATTGCTAATTCAAATTATAATACTCTTTTGTTTTCTCAGTTTATGTTTCTACTTCAGGCAATTGTGTGCTCTTTGCCCAAATTATTCACTTATTTCAAGGCATCCGTTTGTTTAAATTGTGCAGACCTCATCACTGAAATGCTATGTTTGCATATCTGAAGTCGTAAGAGTAGATTGCATAATTATCTAGTAATATTGAGATAATTCAGGCAGATATTTTGTGGGGAATTTTTATTTGCCTTTCTTTACAGGTATTTAACTGTGTGATTTGAATGATAGATTTTTAACTATTTTTTTATTGAAATCACTCTAACAGTTCTAACAAAAATATTATAGACTTTATGTGCTTTGTATTTGCTTTCAGTATTAAAATTCCTAAATTCATAAATTTTATAAGTTTAATGATGTCCAACTGGTGTTGGATTATTAGAGGATGCCCTGATAATTTTGATGGCAAGTGGTGTGGATAATGCTGAAAGGGAAAAAGCCAATTGAACACAGTCTGTTCAAACTCCAGTAGTGCTGCTGTAAATTTTAATTGATGAACTATTTGTTAAGTACATGGTGGCAAAGTCCTCAAGAAAATAACGAATCAGATGAAATTGCACACTTCAATAAATAACAATGTTGGGTTCTTTCTGTGGTTCTTCTGTAACTCAGGAATTGAAAAGAAAAAAAGAAATTAGTCCAAATATGTCAATTTTTATATTAGACTTAAGGGCATTGACAAATTGAATGAACTGAGTTTAAATTTAAAAGAATAATTGAAATATGTTTTGGACTGATAGCAGTAAGTGCATTTATGTATGAGGTAGGTGAGTGGCATATGAGGAGCAAGGTTCTAAAGCTGCCTAAACATTCCAATTGATTACTATTTTTTTCTCCAAATATTGCAGCTTTTAAATGGCAGGTTTCATTTAGCAAATCACTACTCCTTTTTACTGGCTGGCCTTTATACTCATGCAATAAGTTCATGGATAGGAGAAAAAGAATTATAAAAAACTGTGGTACATCTTCACAATGGAATACTATGCAGCTATTAAAAAGAAAGAACTTTTACCACTTGCAACAGTATGGATGGAACTGGAGAGCATATGCTAAGTGAAATAAGCCAGTTGGAGAAAGATAAATATCACATGATCTCACTCATATGTGGGATATAATGAGCAACATAATTTGATGAACAAGAATAGATCAATCTAGAGACAAATCATCGGGGGGGCGGGGGGGCAACCAAAGGACTTGTATGCATGCATATTAGCATAACCAATGGACACAGACACTGGGGCAGTGGGGGCTTGCCCGGGCTGGGAAAGGATGGGGGAGTGGGTCAATTGGGATAAAAGGAAACATATGTAAAACTTTAGACAAAAAAAAAAGAGAGAGAAAGAAACCTTGCCTTAGTTATCCAAAAATAAGTCACCCCCTCAAGTGACCATAGAGAAATGGATAGAATTTGGGAAACTTTATTCTTCTTGGTAATCACAGGATTCTGTGCTCCCTCCAGAGTTATGCAGAACACTTCAATGTTCCTAAAGCTATTAGGGCAATTAGTTTTCACTCTGCTCACACCTCTCTGGGAAAGCACTGACAGAAATAAAAGCTGTGGAACCCAGTGGCTCTGGGGAATTTTGAATTAAAGGTTCAAGAACCAGGATCTCTAATCTCCATAGAATATACAAATGCCCCAAATTATATTCGTGAGTTAAATTTCCTTTTTCTTCTTCTTCCTCTTAGTAAGTTCCATGGAAAATGTTAAGTTAAGCTCAAGATTTTAAAGTTCAATAGAGGAAGACAATATATACTGGCACAATTGTCTCTAGTGTCACAGGGATGTAATTGACTGAAAGACATCAATAGACAAAGTCTATTTCATTTAATGTAAGTAATAGGATCTGTATCCTAATAGATAGGTAGATATAGATAGATGATAGATAGATAGGTAGATAGATAGATAGATAGATAGATAGATACATACATACATACATACATACATACATACATACATAGATATAGTTATAGATATAGATAGCTATGCATCCTAATAGATGATAGATAGATATTATATAAATAATGTAATAGTCCATTTAGTTTTGTGTTCAAAATCTCCTAATGAGACTTGTTCTTAGCTAATGTTGTATTAAAATTATAAAGCAATCATTTCATTAAAACTGTAAAAGTTATTTTTTATCTTCATTCTCTTCTTAAAATGTATAGAGTATGAAGCAAATGAAATATGCTTAGAGGTATTTTATACCATTTTATATCCTCTTCAGAAAGCTTAATCATCAAAATGAAATAATATAAATTATTAAATTCTTGTTCACATTGCTCATTCCTAGAAAGCAGATTTACTTTATAATATTTTAACTTACGTAATTACCACTTACCACACATGTTATGGACCAAAATAAGAAGTTGCAAGTACAATATTTTGAAAAGTGTTTTAAAATTGATTTACTAAGAAAAATAAAACAAATTAATTGCTAAATAAAACTGGAAAGTACATTGCAATTTTATTTAAAATTTTTAGCCATTAATTTTATTCATGTCTTTGGAACTATATAACAATTATTTTGTTAACTTGTTGGCTCATTTTTATTTGAAGCATTAGAATAAATAATTAAAAATACACATATGTAGGAGAAACTAAGATGGCGGCATAGGTAAACACCGGGAAATTGCTGCCTCCCACAACAACTTCAAAAATACAACAAAAAGACAAAACGGACATCATCCAGAACTACAGGAAGGCTGGCTGAGTGTAAATTCTGCAACTAGAAGAAAAGAGAAAAGCACACTGAGACTCAGAGGAGCTGCGGAAGTAAAGTGCAAAGGTACGGAGGCTCGAGCGCATGCACGGAAAGGGGCTGGTACCTGAGGACGCAGCTGTCTTTTTGAATTGGGCGGGAGTCACAAGCTCCCGACTGCTCTGAACTCCAGTTCTGGGAAGTCTCTGGGGACCCAGGACTCATACGTGGAGAAACTGGACTGTCTGGCAGCAGGCAGAACTCTGAACTTGAGGGCGGCTTTCCCGCAGAGGTGCTTGCAACAATTATCCGGACACTGAGACGCGCGGCCCCTTAGGGCAGGGCTGAGGACCAGCCATAGCTGCTTGCTCCGCCCTTTGATTCCCTGAGACCCCGCCCCACCCAGGCTGCAGCAGAGGCTTTTGCATATGAATGCCCTGGCCCTTTGCAACCTGAAAATTACCTAACAAATTGCAGCTGGGCCAGACAGACCCAGAACTTCCAAGAGAAGGCCCAAGGCCCCACAACAGCTTGCATTGCTTCACAGTTGGGCCTCATCAGGGCACCTCCAAACTCCAAAAAAGGAAGGGGAATCTGCAGAACTCTTCGTAGCTCCTGCTGGGTAACCTCAGGCAGAGGCTAAATTAGCACCTCCTTAGATCCAAGAGCCAGTGTACCCAGTGGTCAGAGGGGGACCATCCAGATTACAACTCCTCAGATCCATAAGGGACACACTCAGGGGGCAGACTCAGTGAGCACCAAAGCCCCACTGAAGCAAGTCTTGCCCCAGAAGGGTGTCTTCAGCACAGAAGTTCTCCCACTGCAGACACAGCTGATTCTCACTGCCAATTGGCCTGGAGGTCAATTCCTCCCAGTGATCCTACAACAATCAAGGCATAACTACAACAAGACTGTGCACAAAGCCCACAGGGTGGTGCACCAAGAGTGTCCACCTCAGGTAACTGGGGAGGCTGAGCCACTGGGCCCTACAGGACACCTAGCACACAAAACCACTCTACCAACACAGGGAAGCATAAAAAATGTGGAGACAAAGAAACAGGTCACAAATGACAGAAATGGAGGAAAGCAAAGGACTGGATATAGAGTTCAAAACCACGTTTATAAGGTTTTTCAAGAATTTTATGGAAACCGCCAATAAATTTAGTGATATAAATTTATTGGAGGATATAAAAAAAAGACCAACTAGAAATTAAGCATACACTGACTGAAATAAAAAATAATATACAGAGATCCAACAGCAGACAAGAGGATCCCAAGAATCAAGTCAAAGATTTGAAATACGAAGAAACAAAAAATACCCAACCGAAAAAGAAAAAAGAAAAAAGATTCCAAAAATATGAAGATAGTGTAAGGAGCCTCTGGGACAACTTCAAGCGTACCAACATCAGAATTATAGGGGTACCAGAAGAAGAGAGAGGGCAAGATATTGAAAACTTATTTGAAGAAATAATGACAGAAAACTTCCCCTACCTGGTCAAAGAGATAGACTTACAAGTCCAGGAAGCACAGAGAACCCCAAACAAAAGGAACCCAAAGAGGACCACACGAAGACACATCATAAGTAAAATGCCAAGAGCAAAAGACAAAGAGAGAATCTTAAAAGCAGCAAGAGAAAGACAGTCAGTTACCTACAAGGGAGCACCCATACAAATGTCACCTGATTTCTCAACAGAAACCATGCAGGCCAGAAGAGTGTGGCAAGAAATATTCAAAGTGATGAATAGCAAGAACCTACAACCAAGATTACTTTATCCAGCAAAGCTATCATTCAGAATAGAAGGTCAGATAAAGAGCTTCACAGATAAGAAAAAGCTAAAGGAGTTCATCACCACCAAACCAGCATTATATGAAATGCTGAAAGGTATTCTTTAAGAAGAAGAAATAGGAACTCTTACCATTTGC